TCGGATGAAAATGAGGCTTGTTAGGCCTCTAGCAATAGAGATGCTAATATACCGAGGAAAAATATATGAATATAAATTACAGAGTTTAAAAATAATATAAGCCTAAATATAAATGATAATATAAATGATGATGATATAAAATTACAAATTACTTAGTTTTCTTATCTCATTCCTGAAAGGGCCAAGTTTGGCCATTAATCTTAGCTTATCAGGTAATGCATTCCAAGCCTTAGCAGCAATGTATGAAGTCGATTTGAGGCCGTAAGTTGTGGTCTTAGCTACAGGTAAAACAAGTTTGTTTTTGCCTCTAAGATTTAAATTATTTATTCTTGAAATAAATATTGAATATACTGAGGCATATTGTTATAGAGGGCTTTAAAAATTATTAAAAGCACATCTTGTTTCCGTCTACAACTTAATGAGTAACCAATCTTATAACATAGACTATCATATGAGTTGGAAAAGTCATTAAACACCTATAATAGACCTCTGGAGTTCCAAATATTTATGAGTTTCTTTATGGTGTCAAGTTTTTTCAATAAAATTCTTTTCTAGAAGTAATTTTGGATCATAGGAGTAGTAGACCTTCAGTTTTGGAGGGATTAATCACTAAACCTGACAACTTCTTAAAATCATTGAGCAATTTGAAAAGGATGCAAGCAGAATTAACGTCTGAAACTACTACTCTTGTATCGTCCGCATATTGGAGGAGTTTTGTTTTGTTCTTTCCGATAGTAATTCCTGTTACCGCTGTATTTTGACGAACTGCAATTGCCATGGTTTCGACAGCTATTATGAATAGATATGGAGAGAGCGGATCCCCTTGCCTCACTCCTTGTTCAAGTGTAAAATAATCAGAAGTGATACCATTATTGATCACACAACTTTGTATATTATTGTGACTGTATCTGTAATTTGTAAGGTTGTGAATAAAATAAAATAAAAAAGATGATCAGAAAAAAAAAGGTTAAACTTAATAATCTTAAAAATTTAATAATCTAAATAATATAAATTTAAAAATTAATTTAATTTAATAATATAAATTTAATAATCTTAAAATTCAATTTTAAAGTGCTGTGTGAATTGTAGAATCAGTAATATGTTTAAGCTGCTTCTTAGCATAAGTCTGAAATGCAGGTTCTGGGTATCATTCTACAATCCCTAACTCACTAGAACTATGAATTATTTTGAGTAGACAAAACAAACTCATCGCAGTATATTTTGTTTAATTTTAATTTTCTTCCAACCCTTAAACACCTAAGAATGACTAGCATCTAATTTCTCCTTGCAATATAACCCTTGAATCACATATTAGTGTCACCAGAATATAGGAAATGATCACCATCTTGAGAAGTTGTTGATTGTCAAACAAATTTTCCTTGTCAGCATCATAGGAAATGTTAATAAATTGGTATGGAGAATATGCCAGCTCATCTTTAATTCCTTACATCTCCTTACAAAAATTATTTTTCTACAGTCAATTTTAAGGGCAAGAGAGTCATGTTGGGATTTAAGATCTCCATGGGATCCTTTCCGCACCATGGATATCTTTTGTGGATGACTAGAAAGGGTGTGAGGTAATTCCTCCTTACTATTGTTGATTACTCCAACAAATATTTATGTTAAAGTTTCCATTCAGTGCATGGCTTTCTTGGTGGAATTGGTTGAAATGATCTTGCCTCACTGTTCAGGTTTTCTTTGCCACATTTTTGCTGCTATTTACATTATTTTATAGATGTTCCATGTTTTATATTTCTATCTTTTTTCCTTTACACTTAACTCATTTCCATTTCTGAACCTTTTGATTTTCTACTACTCACCCATATTGCCCAGTGAAGTGAAGTGAACATGGTTTAACATTTCAATATTTTTTCTTTTTAGCTGCATTATTCAGTATTAGAGGTCTTCTGTGATGTCTGGTCTATCAAAGGTAGCAATACTGGTGTTGTTTGTTTGACTTGCTGGAAAAGCATTGGGTACCATCCCTAACCCTAACCCTAACCCTAATCAGTAAAAGGAGTGCTTAACCTTAATCAGTAAAATTAAACTGGTTCAAAAAAATTGAACTGGTTTGGAATAAATTAAATTAGAGGATAAAATTGAACCACAACATATACACCTGACTTTGGGAAATTAGGAGCAGCAAATTTATACAGACATTGATGGAACATGTAAGTTTACATGTGAATGAGAAATTCCTGAAAGGAAATTTGCAAATTATTTTGAATGCTTTTTCTTTTGCTTTTGCAGGATTTTGACATTCCCATTGTAACCTCTACATCACAAGAAGACCAAAAAAACACAAGACTAAAAGTCACTTTGTTAAGCAGCGAGTGGAGGTCATCACTAATGGAGACCTGTCAATCATCAACAGAGAGCTTGCTGTGCAGTTAGCTAAACTCTCCAATGTGGAAGTTAGTGTCTTTCTTCTGCAATGCAGTGAAGAAGACAGGAACAATGCAGCAAGTCATGATGTTCAGCTGGTTGTTCCTGAAATGCTGCCTGGTATGAATCCAGTTGACTGTCTGATGTTTGTCCCAGATGGACATGTCATGGATTGTGTAGTGGGACATGGAGTAACTCTTGGCAGACAAGTGCCGGTCATTAGAAAACATCACCAATACAAATGGATTCAAGTTGTTCACACTGCCCCAGAAGATTTTGGAATGTACAAAAGCATTTCACAAGGTGAACAACTGCAAAAAACAGAAGTAGCATTGTGTGAGAAGGCTGATCAAGTTGTAGCAATTGGACCCAAGCTGGCAGACGCTTACAAACGTTACCTTGTTTGCAGTAAAAAAGACCATAATGTTTTAGATCTGACTCCAGGCATATTCTCTGAATTTTTGGATGTGGAGCAAGCCATTGAAGAAAGAAGAACTTTCAGTGTTCTAATCATTGGAAGTGGCGACAGCTGGGAAGATTTCATCTTGAAAGGTTATGATCTTGCAGCTCGGGCAATTGCTGAGTTGGAAGATGAAATCTATCAACTCAAGTTTGTTGGTGCACCAAGAGGGAAAAGAGATGAAATAGCAGAGATACTTCTTCGTCGTGGCATTCATCATAGTCAGCTAACTGTTTGCAGCTTCAATGACAGGAGAGAAGTATTAGCCAACTTATTCTGTGAGGTAGATCTTGCCATAATGCCATCAAGGACTGAAGAATTTGGAGTCAATGCTCTGGAAGCCTTATCTGCGGGTTTACCTGTACTTGTCAGTGGTAATTCAGGATTTGGAGAAGCTCTGAAGGAGGTACCTTTTGGATCAGAGTGTGTAATTGACTCTGAAGATCCTAAAGACTGGGCCAGAAAAATCAAGGCTGTGCGACAGAAAAAGAGGAGTAACTGAATTGCAGAAATGAAGTTGCTCCGTGAAAAGTACTTTGAGAAGTATACAGCTGGGAAGAGTCCATTAGAAGTCTTGTAGAGAGGATGTACAGTCTAATATTTGGTAAGCCACTCTACATTAATATTGGGGAAATCATGCTAATTGAAAGAAGTAAATTTATTGATACCTGCATGCGTCTTACCTACTTGTTCAAAAATCAGGAGCTTCTTAAATTGGTAATCATTTCCATTTAAATCAAAGGTGATACTGAAAAGAGAAATTAGAAGGTAGTTATTGTGAGGGGTGAAATGGGTAAAGAGGTTTATTTTGTTTAATGATAAAAGTGGGGTGCCTTAAGCTTAGGGAATACACTTGGCCTGTGGTCATTTTCACACCTGCAGGCATTATCAGTGGCCATGAAGTAGTTGTTTACAAGTGTGGGTGCCTCAGATAAACTCTTGATGGTTTAGACAGAAAATAACCAAACAGACATTTCAAATTATAAGATAACTATTGGTAAGTGAAATGCAAGTTTATTACCACCAAATGGTGAAAGAAGCACATTCTAATGGAGGTGTACAGTGTAGCCAATCAGAGCGTCGATACGTCGTTTTTCACAGTGAAAAAAATATGACTAATCAGCTGGCTCTTCTTGCGCGAAGAGACTATTTTAATCTCGGTGCTTTTTGGTGCGTAAATCTCAGTATGAATATAATAAACTGTTTTACGCATGGTCAAGGACTCATTGATACATGTATATTATTGATAACTGGTTTCTATTCTCTTTCTACGTTGTCATTGATTTCATGTGGATCAGCTAATAACTTGTGATGAATGAATGGAAAAATATTAAAACTCCATTCTTTGTTTTCAGAGACAGTACTAGTGTCAGGGGAGAATAGATCAGCACAGAATAGTAAAGCCAGCCCACCAAAGCTCAGTGTTACA